TGCCACGTTGAGCTTGCGTGTGCTTGGCTGCCTCTCCAGAGACCGTGAACCCCCAGAGCAGAGGAGCTGCGTTTTGTCTCTCACCTTAGCCCTCGGAACTGCTACAGTGCTCGCCTCGTAGGTGTTCCGTAAATATTTATTAAAGTAATAAAGGAGTGAATGAAGGAACGAACAAAATACCCTGCTAATAATAGCGTCATAGCTCACTGGCGGTGGATAGGCCTTTTACTCTTCCTTGAGTGACTTGTAATGTTGGTATTTGACAGACGGGAGCCATACAGGCAACACTTTCAGCCTAGCCTTTGGGAATTCTGAGAGCTTTAGACAACGATTAGGAGGGCGGGGGTGTGGAGAGGACGACACAGAAGGCTCCCCGACGAACATTCTCGACCTCACTATACAGTGAGGCGAGTTTCCATAAGCAGCGCTGACCCTTGAAGGATGGTGGATAGGGGGCCATCCAAAACCGGCCGTCGCCGCCCTTTCTCACCGTGAGCGCTAAAGCAGTTGGCATGTGTCAACTTCTCAGCACGAAGCCTGAGTGTAACGAGTGTTTGGCTCGTGGTAAAGGTGATAAACACGCATGGTTCTAGATAGTTCAGGCAGCTTTTTCTTCTCAAGAATTCGAACTACTTTTTTTTTTTCTTAAGGAATTATAAGCNTGGTAAAGGTGATAAACACGCATGGTTCTAGATAGTTCAGGCAGCTTTTTCTTCTCAAGAATTCGAACTACTTTTTTTTTTCTTAAGGAATTATAAGTAAGTACAAAAGAAAAATGGTTGTGATTTGGAAAANTTTTTTTTTTCTTAAGGAATTATAAGCAAGTACAAAAGAAAAATGGTTGTGATTTGGAAAAAACACATGCACACAGACTAGGGTTGCTACGTTTTATTTAAAGACAGACGTCTGTAGTTCTGTTCTACTCATCATCGTTGTCTCGAGTCCCTGTGTACCTGGAATGTCACGGCAGTGGGAACCCACAGGCACAGAAGCCCACTTTCCTTCCAAGGCCCAGGGTCAGGCCCTGCGCTCGCTCACGTTCGAGGAAGGACGCAGATAAGACTGAAAGGCACTAAAAGAGATCCTTGGGTGTTCCGAGGGTAACTTTGAATCCCATTGTCATAACGTTTGGATATATCCCAAAACCTTGGTTTGTACTTGTTGAGTTTTTTACGTGACAGGAACAAAAATAGTAAAATAAATAAATAACAAGTCCTTAAATATAGTGTCCTCAGTCCTGAGTCATTTGCAAATCGGAGCCTGCTGCCCCTGACAGTGAGTCTTTCTGAGGCTCTGCAGTGCCCTGCGGCAGGCATGGTCCGTCAGAAGCCAGGCGCTCCGGATAAACATAGGTTACAGTGTTGGTGGGCAAGGAGGGCGTGGGATGTGTGTAACTGCTTTGGGAGTTTCATTGGCTGTGGCTGTAAACAGTGATGATGGGGTATAAGGGAAGAAAAGGAGGGGCTGAGTTCCCCTAAGACCCGCTTGGAATGTCTGGACATAGGGCCACTGGAAACAAATGGAATTTCAATTATTTTTCAAGCTCTCTTAGCATCTTCATGAGTATATTTTTCTTTACCACTCCTCGTGGAAGATGCATTGCAGTTATTGATTGATTGAGTGATCTCTTGATTAGTTAAATGCGTTAGTTTTAGCTAGTATTTGTGGAGCATGTACCATATGCCAGGAACAGAGCTTCACTTTAAACATTACACTTAAAGCAGTACCCAACCAATGATGAGACGCTCTGTTTATCCCAGTTTACAGGTGAAAAACATTGGGGCTTGGAGAAGGGAAGCAACTTGCCCTCCCCCACCCCCACCCCCGGTTACCAACTGAGAGTGTATTAGAAAGAGCCAGGCTCGCTGTTAGCACAGCCTGCTCGTGTGCCTCTCCTCTAACCTTCGAGTCTAGCCTCCACTTATCAGAGCTCCTGGTGAATGGGCCTCTGTTTCCTGGCAGGAACACTGCCTGTATCAATATTCATAAGAAGATCAGCAGAAAACAAAGCTCTGGGAAGTGGGGCCCAGGGACAGCGAACCGGGGAGAAAGGGAGTGAGAACACCTGTGGGGCCTGCAGGGGGGTTAGGGACCCATTTGGGGGACAGAAGTTGAGGTGGTAACGGGGAAGGAGAATCTAGCTTTTACAATGTCACCCAGACCACAGGGGGGAAAACATGTGCAGTGTTAGGAGGTGGTGGAAGGAGCAGAAAATACCAAATATCCTTTCAGTCTCAGAGTCTAGTACTTTTCTTGAAGAAAAAAGCACCAATGTTACATCATTTCTTTGGCCAATAAAAATTATGATAACTCTTAGAATTAAGTTGAAGATTCTACTAATATTGTGTTAATGTGTCTTGGTTTCTGTTGGAGTTATGCATTGTTCTCATACATTTGCTCAATGACCTTTTTATTGCCTGGTCTTCTCTTCTTGAGATGAGCTCACTGGATTTTCATTAACTCACCAGGTTTCCCGAATTTCTGGGGACCAAAGCTAGTTAAGGAGTATATGGGCCATTTTGCAAGGTCCTTATAATCAAGTCACCAACTTAATTTCCAATTGATTATACTTTAGAATTGTATTCTCAACCACTTTTTCATTACCACCGTCTAACGAGTTTTTTAGACATTTTTTTTCCTAATTGCCCTTATCCCATAAAAATTTAATACCACAGATATATTGTATATTCATTTAAGTACTGTGGGCTGTTGGTAGGTCATAAACCCTTGTAATATCTAAGATCTGCTCCCTCTACCCAAAATGATCGCTGCTGCCTTGGGGGAGGCATCACCCCGGGAGATAACGCATGCTTCAGAATGATCGAACAGTGATTATAGACCTTCCAAAAACGGTGCGTGCCTCTTATAATTGCTTCCTGCATGAGCACAGCTAATGTTTATTCCCTTGTCACCTCCTTTGCCTAAATTACTGGGAGTGGACCTGCCTAGGGCCCCATCCCAGCAGGAACCTCCAGGGTAATATGCTCCCCATTTCTCTGACGGGAAAAAGGGGGCTCTAGGACACACTGACAGTCAGTTGCTGGAAAGGAAATGCACACGTGAGTGTCTAATTGGAAAGAATGTATGTTTACAAATTATTTTCTACTAACTTTAAGGATGAGCAAGGGTGGAAGTATCTGCGTGTCGGAGGTAGAATAGAGATCAATAACGTGGTTTAAGGCACCTCTCTGCCACTGTCCTGAAGTGGGATCAATGACCTAATGTGGTTTTTTTACCGCTCATTGCTGTGTCCAGTAATTTATGCCTCGTATGTCCATTTCGAAAAGGACGTTGTCTGGAAATACGAAACGTATGGGCTGTCATAGCAAAGTACCGCAGACCGGTGGCGTAAGCAACGGGCATTTCTTTCCTCGTGGCTCTGGAATCTAGAAGCCCGAGGTCACGGTGTCAACTGAGTTCCTTTCTTTTGGGGCCTCTCTCCTTGGCTGTAGATGGCCGGCTTCTGCTTGTGCCTTCGCATTGCTCCCTCTCGGTGTGTCTGTGTCCTAATCTCATCTTCTGATGAGGGCACCAGTCATATTGGGTGAGGCTAACCCCAATGACCTCATTTTAACTTTATGACCTCTTTAAAGACCCTGTCTCCAAATATTAGTCACATTCTGAGGTGTGGGAATTAGAACATTCACATAGGAACTTGAGGGGCCACAGTTTGGTCCAGAACATCATGTAAGATCAGGTATAATNACTTGAGGGGCCACGGTTTGGTCCAGAACATCATGTAAGAACAGGTATAATGAAGCCTCTGTGGGCTGCAGGCGCAGACTTGGACTGAGATGGATCTGTTCAAATCCCCACCCTGTTTCTCATGAGCTGTGTGTCCTTCAGCAACTTACTTAACCTCTCTGAACTTCAGTTCTCTTTAAAAGTATAATAATCATCCCTATCCCAAAGGATTGTTGTGAGAATTATGTTGAGTTAATTAATAATAACTATAACTAATAAGTATATATATACGTGTAGCACTGCACCTACCTTTTAATTGCTTTTCTTCTTAAATATGGACCCAGACTTCAGTGCATGAGGAATAGTAAGACCAGCAACCAGTATGCACCCTATCGATGGAGCACCCTTATGCACATAGTAGGACAAAAGTCAGGGGTTTTTACATAAAGCTATAGACTAGTTCATCAGCTCAACAGCATTTCTTGTGCATGCACTGCATATGGGCACACAGAGCCGCCCTCTCATCTTCTGCGTAGCAAGGGCCTTTCTTACTGCCCATACCCACAGCTCTAGAGGTTCTCCAGCAGATTCCCTGGCATCGGGGAGTTTCTCCAGGATTCAATAGAGAAAAAAAAAAAATTGTCTCAAGTTGAATTACTACTGTTGCGACGAAAGTTTCTCTGCTCTCCAGAAACAGCCTTACCTGTGTCCAGAGACTGTCATGGGGCATCTCTCTGCTGGTCCCCTTTCGAAACCAGCCAAGTGCTGTAATTACACGAAGCAGTCGCTGCTGGTGAGGGAAGAGATCGTGCTTTTCCTAGAGACTGCGCCCCACAGCGTTCATCAGTGGCGCCGGCCTGTACATTCCCAGCCGCCCAGCCGTGCCCCCCGGCGCACCCCGCGTGCCCTTGAAGCCTCGGAGGCCGCCGGGCGTGCCTGGGCTGGCTGCCACTCGTGTATTGCCCCTTTGCCAGGGCCTTCTCCTGCCCCTCTGATTTTCCAAATTGAAACTAAAGTCAGAATAGAGTCAGGCTGCACAATGCGATGGGGTGGCACAGGTACGAGTCTCCTGGCACCACTTTGGGTCACTCGGCTTCACATAAGACCCACATAGATTGTCCGCATCCAGAGCCGTTCATAGCTACACGGGTGTTAAAAACTCTGCATCCTACGGCCTGCCCTCTTTAGAGGGGTAAGCAGTGATAGCGATGGAGGCAAGGCAAGGTGATAAGTCGTCTCTGCGTTTGTTCCTTGGTTCCTTATGTCTCTCTCCTCTCTCTTCCCCCGCCCCCTTATTTTTCCTTTGACATGCGCAGCCCACGTCAGATGACCTTGTATCATCTGCTGAATGTTCAAGCGACGATGAAGACTTTGTTGAATGTGAACCGAGTACAGGTAGGTTAGGTCAGTCTTGTTTTGCTTGCTTTATTTTTTCATTTGCAAAAAACAATACATACATATATGTGAATATACATGTGTTTTATATATATTATAGTGTGTTAATGTGTGTATTTCCTATATCTATATATGTATAAACATACATATATAAATACTAATATATAATCTAAAGCATCAAATCCCATGGAAGGAGTAACAAGGTCCCAGGGAAATTTAAAGTCAGTTCCCTGAGAGTTAAAAAAAAAAATCTATGGACTATGACCTAACTTTGAGCAATCAAACACCCAGATTGACCACCGGAACAGTAAATGCATAGCGGCCAGTGGCAGCTATGAAACAGACAGGGCGGGGTAGGGCCTGAAAGAGGCCTGTATTGGAACGACATCAATAAGCATGAACCCAAAGTGGAGCCATAATGATCATTTAAACCTCATGAACTGTTCAGAGCCTAAGTGGCAAATGAAACAAGATACAAAACCAAACGGCAACAAAGACATTTTCCATGGGATTTCAACAGCAGTTAACATGGTATCACATTCATACTAATTTTGTTCATTGGGTGTTTAGAGAATTTGTGCAGCAATAAAGCAAACACAAAATTAGTCTGAACCATGCCATGTCAACGGCTGAGATGCTTCGAAATGTAGTCGCTGTGCTGAAGTTGAGAGGACTTTGGCAATTAGAAGCTTCAGTGTGTTCCCCATTTGCACCCAGATACATTTTGATGTTTTATGGTCTTTCTTTAGAGTGAGCTATATATGATATAATGTCCAGCAGGCAACTGCAGTCCCTGACTATTTCCTATCAACTTACCCAAGTCGCCTGTTTTGAGACTTGCTATAAGTTAAAACATTTATATTTATATAATAGAGAACAGATATCATCGAATTTCTGTGTATGTTTAAGAGAATTAAAAGCTAGAGTTGAATTAGGATCTTATGTCTGCAAAAGAAATCGAACTTTCTAGTTGGTTCTTTGGGTTGCTTTCATTTTTTTCCCTTTAAGAAAAAGGCAAGCCAATAAACATTTTATTTTGCTAATTCTAGAGAAATTTAAGCTTCCTGAAGAAATAATATAGTGAAAGTAAAAATCTACTATTGGTTACCCCGAAATGATTTATAATTTTCCACATTTTGTGGAAGCCTGACTGCTGGTTTCTTGCAAGTGGCTTTGGATCCAGGAAGTTCTGTGGGTGCCTGTCCTTAGCATGACTTAGGGACTGACTACTATGTGGGGCCTTTTCACTTTGGAGTGTGATCTGTTCCTTTGGAAACTCAGCTGTGTGGAAGGAAAGTCACTGTGACCTGGTTAGTCAGACTTTTTCAAATTATTGTGTAATTATCTCACAATATTAAGTGAGGTTTTAACTCTAGAGGGTATTATTGTAATGAAGTCAGACAGAGAAATAAATATACCATATGGTTTCACTTATATGTGGAATCTAACACCAAACCAATCAACCAACCAAACAAACCAACCAACCACCAACCAACCAAAACCAAAACCGACTCATAGAAATGTAGACCAAGGAGATGGTTGCCAGAGGGTGGGGCAGTGGGGGGTGGGGAAAAAGGTGAAGGGAGATATAGTCAATAACACTGTGGTAGGTCCGCACGGTGACAGGTGATTACTAGAATTAGTGAGGTGATCACATCGTAAGGTATAAAAATGCTGACTCACTATATTGTACACTAGAAATGAATATAACTAATATAATATTGTATATCAGTGGCACTAAAATAAAATAAAATAATAAATCAAAATAGGACAGATGCATTTAATCTACACCAGAACTTGAACACCAAGTTTTATTCATTAATTCGTGTCATCATTCATTCAATAACAATTTCTTAGCACTTATGCAGGATACAATGTATCTCTAGGTTTGAGTCTGTCCCGTTCTAATAATTCTCATAAATGAAGTCAGAGAAAAGAGAATAAGAAGCTTTGCTATCTAAATTCCCTCCCCAACAAATACCTTCTGTGTCCGTGAGGCACGTGCTAGGTATTGAGGATCCGGATATGGTTATGGCAAGATCCCCCTTTTAACTGATTCCATGGTCAATAGTTAGCGGCCCTCAGTCTGGATTCCCTGTTTACTCTTTGGCTTTCTCGCTTTTATAGCTGTGATACATGTATCTATACACATACACAAAAGTGTGCATCAAATCTTCTGATTTTAAGTCTTCTTGTAAAAATTGAGGCTGGACCATTTTGAAATATTACCACCACCTTCCCCTACTCCCTCCCCCCTCCCACACAGTCACCTCCACAGCAACCTCTGGAATAACACCGGGGGCCTTTCCAGGTCCCAGATTCACAAGTTTTACAGCTCCCGGTTGTGGGTGGAGACAGGGTGTCCTGAAAAACGCACACACACACTTTAACAGCTGAGAGCTCAGTTTTGAAAATGAAATGTACTTTAATAAACACTGCCTTCAAAGTGTGTGTATACGTTTTGGGGGGACACCCTATATTGCCATTTGGTATTGAACATGAGCAGGTCCAGGTTTGGACGGCAGCGCACTAAGTCCATTTGCGCTTTCATGGTTGCACAGGCGTTTCAGCTGCTTCAAAGACAGAGGACAGAAACTCAATGCCAGTATTTTCTTTTGATATCATTGCCAGGGGCAGGTGGGGGACTGAAGCAGGTTTTAAACAATCTGCCTGTTCCGAAAGGGAGTAGGGGAGGGTAGAAAAATAAACCAGGCGGCAGGGTGCCCACCCGGAGGCAGCTAACAGGTCCGTGCAGCTCTGAGGCACCCATATTGATGCTCCCCTGCCTGGGATTATTCAACTCGTCACATCTGAAGGATGAACAGCTCTTCTTTCTAATTTTATTTACTCCATAAAGTATTCCTGGTTAGTGATTCCGATACGCAGGGAGATATGTCAGGGGTGTATTTTATGCAGGAAGGAGATAGATATTCCTGCTGATGCAGAAATTTTGCCCTGGAGACCAGATTAACACTGATGAAGTTTATGTAGCATAGATCCATCAAGCCCTTTATTTCATTGTATGGGAAATATCTTCATAGCCTTCACACTTTCCAGAAAGTACAGATTAAAGATCAGAAACAAACAGTTGTTTCCGGGGCTAGGTTTTGCACGGCCTAGAGAGAAGGCTTCCATTACCCACTCGGCAATGGGTAATGGTGACAGTTTCATAAATTCAACTTTGACATCAATTGTTAATCTAAAAATCCTATGTGAATATTGAGATTACAATTCTGGTTTTGACCATCTTAATTCACTACCTCAGTTTCTAAAATGTTACTCTTTTCCAGGCCTAATGTTTGCTGGAAATGCACTAAATTTGGCTCATTACCCAAGGCCTTGTTCTGTCTTACTCAACATGCCCTTGTCTTCTCTCGCTGTGTCAGCAAGTTTACGATTCTCTAGCTGTCTCAGTTATAAGGCATTTAACTTTTTTAAGTTCTTTTCTGATTAATTGAGGTCCATTAGAAGCCCTTGCTTTTCATAAATTCAGGCAGTTTAGTATATGCGAATTCAACAACTTTTGTTTTCATGTGGGCATCACATTTTAAATGAAATTAGTTTTCTTATTTAATTTTCCTTAAATCAAAATCAGTTTCAAAGCTGCTGACTCTGAGTCAGAGGTAAGCACTTGCCTTTCACACCAAAGGCCCACGTTGTCGCTCAGGATCACTGTGGTCCGGTGTAGCTTCGTCATATCATGTTCAGAGACAACGTTACCTTGTTTGGAGTTTGGTTGATGATAGTCTAGAAACCTTGTAAAGCCAATGGATCTCAAATTTTCTCTATGTATTTGCTCTGAAACATATGTAAATGAGTTTTAAAAAATAACAACCACCTAAACCATGACAACCAAACACAGAGTGAAAGCTCAATTAGTGTTTATTGACTGAATCTGTATGACTCACCTCGTAATCTTACATTCAAATTGGAGATTAATCATACTTCTAGCTTCATCTCCACTTAAACAGCTAAATAAAACCTGTCAAATTATTTAAAATTCGTAATTTTATATAAGTGAACATCACCCTAACAAATCCACGTTTGTTCAACCAAAAGAACTCTCTACTTTCCCTACCCCTTCTAGCCCTGGGAACTAGATCATTCTGCAATGAATGACGGGTAAGATTACAGTTTCTAAATGTTTGCTTTAAGAACCCAGGATTGAGCCTTTAAAGTATAAAATCATAATGAAGCCATCTGCATCAAATGAAAATATTCAGAAGAATATCTGAATCACTGTTTAACTACCTAAAGTTGAGGGTCAAGATTTTAACTTTCCTAATTTATAAAAGTTGATTACATTGCCCACAAAGGAAGTCAATATCTACTTCATATTTTAGATTTGTGACTTTGCATGTAAATCTTTTCCTTTCCAACCATACTCTATTGGTGTTAAATTGTGCAGTAAGCTCATATTTTATTGTCCTTCTTACATCTTTGGATTCAATAACAAAAATATAGACAAACTGGAGAGGATTCAAATAACCACCAGAAAATAGGATTTTCTCATGAGACTATGGAAGACAAATAACAATTAAGAACTTCAGTAATTTCACATTTGTGATCTAAAAAAAAATCTATAATATAGAGAAATAGATGACATTGACTTTCCATTTATTTTCTCTCCCTCCCCTCTGTTCCTATCCCCAGTGTCTCCATCTTTGGAATTAGAAATAAAATAAAAAATATTATTCTTAGGTTAATCTTTTTTATAATTAGAAATTTCCAACTTCCTGAATTTTATATGTTTATAGTCTCAAGATCTAAAAGTCCTGGGGTCAAGAGTCATAGAGCAGAGGAAAAAAATACAAAGAAATGCCTTTGACACCTGAGAAATGGGCATGGCAATAATTGACGACTATATTGATTCATCCAGCCATTATCCAGGGATATATTTTTCTGGTTGTCAGTCAGCCAGGTTTTTTGCTTTCAGTTTTGTTAAATGACCTTTGATCAAACATCAAGGGGCAGCACCCCCACCAGAGGACAGACAGTAAAAGGAAGTA